GGGTGAGGGGTGGGGGGTGGGTCAGAACCTTGTCATGGAACCGTTCCCTTCATCACGAGTTCTGCTGAATGCCGCGACGGGTCGGGTAAGGGGGGGAATTAGGTTGGGATGGGATAGGACTAGCACCATTTTAAGTCCCTGTCACCTCTTCCGACTCTTCTGAGTGCCTTCTGTGGGGACTCCGGCTGTGCTGGGAGAAATACTTGAACTTGCCTCTTTTACCTGCTGCTTCTCCAAAAATCTGCCTGGGTTTGGTTCCCGTTTTTCTTCCCTATCCCCCCGACCCCCTCCTTAATATGAAAGGTGCCATGGAAGAGGCTACAGGGCCAAACGCTGAGCCACCTGCCCTTTTTTTCTGCCTCCTTTAGTAAAACTCCCAGTGAACTGTCTTCCTTTTTGGTTTTTACTTAACTGTTTCAAAGCCAAGACCTCACACATACAAAATGCACAAACAATGCAAATCAACAGAAAAGCTGTAAATGTGTGTACAGTTGGCATGGTAGTATACAAAAGGATGGTAGTTGATCTAATTTTTAAAAACTTTGCCTTTAAGTTATTTTACCTGTTTTTGTTTTTTGTTCTGAAAGATGCGCATTCTAACCGGGAGGTCGATGTTATGTATTTATTTATTTATTTATTTGGTTCCCTTCCTGCTCCGAGCTTCCACAGCTGCTGCCCTAGTTTTCTTTCCTCCTTTCCTCCTCTGACTTGGACCTTTTGGGAAGGGCTGCGACGCTTGCTCTGTTCGTGGGGTGACGGGACTCAGGCGGGACAGCACTGCAGCTCCCTGACTTCCGTGGGGCCCCTCACCCACTTCCCCGAGTGGGTCTGGGCTCCGTGGGTGGTGGGGGAGGGCGCTGCTGGCTGTGTATATAGGACAGGTGTGAAAAGCAGTTCTGGATGGGTGCCTTCTGGATCCTCTCTGGGGCTGTGTTTCGAGCAGCATGTAGCCTGCTGGTTTTATCCGAGTGAAATACTGTACAGGGGAATAAAAGAGATCTTATTTTTTTTTTTATACTTGGCGTTTTTTGAATAAAAACCTTTTGTCTTAACTTGTGGCTTC